AATCCTCAGTATGATCTCATTTGTCACTTAGCTTTATTCCAAAAGCCCACTACAAATGGATCAGCTGAGACTTATATGGGACCTGTTCCTTTCATAGCAAACCTAAATGGGAAAGAAAGAAAAACTAGGCAGAAGAGAAAGAAAGAGGGCAAGCTTGCCTGCTTGGGGCCCTCTACCCATATGCTATTGTTGGTTCTGACAGAGTACAGTGGTGCCTCGCAAGAAGACAGTAATTCGTTCCACAAGTAGCGCTGTCTTGTGAAATTTTCATCTTGTAAAAAGTGGTTTCCCATAGGAATGCATTGTATCTCCCAAAAATGTGACCTTCAACATAAAGGAAATGATAATTCTTCCTTGATCTAAAATATTGGCTGAAATTGTGTTGCTTACCGCAGTACATTGCAACTACAGTAGGCTTACTGAGTCAATTGAAGTCATGGAGTAATTGACTCAACAAATCTCCAATGATTCAATGGACCTATTCCAGTTGTCACCTACTAAACTAAGGAACTAGATTATATAATAGTAGGCATATTTTTGAGTTCTTGGTACCTTGCAGATTTTAGGTCTGTCTTTTAGACTTTTTCTACTGGATGAAAACAATGACCTTTATGGGCAATTAACATAATTAACATCTTAAGGGTGAAAAGCTTTGCTTGACATGTCATTAGACAGATATACCCAAAATTTAAGGACAATGTCCAGTGTTACTCATTTGCCAGGATTAGACACTAGGCACTACTGGTAAAACAGATTCCCCTTATCCACTTCCACAAACCCACAATCTGCTCCATATTAAAATGATGTGGAGTGTACATTTTTAACTTCTAAAAATGCTTTGTTTTATTTACAACATAATGAATACATAGAACAAAACAATTAAAGTGGGCTATTTCAAAGTAGCAACTTTTTTATAATTCTCAGAATTCATACCCACCAAACAAACCTAAAAATGCCCCAATCAGATACACTAAATCAACCCTAACCTTTCCAGAAGAGATTATTTTCCAGAGTCACACTTCTCCAGAGTATCACTATTTCCCAGATTAAATTCACAAGGATATAAAGATATTTTGAGTAAGCACTATCCTTCAAACCACTATCATCTCATTACCAAAAGCTAGGAGAACAATAGTACTTCCAGTAGTATTACCTCTAAGCTTTGGAATTTCCACTGCTAAGTTTCCACTGCTAAAATCATGGCAGGAGAATACATCAACCACTGGCTCATCATTTTTAATCAATACCAAAAATCATTTAACTGCGGGTTTCTATTTTCAATGCTAATGTGCCTCAATGATGTATGTAACAAGCTTGATTCTTTAACATATTGTTTTTAAAATAATAGAAAGAATTAAATCACACTTTCATAAGAAAAGGGTTGAGTCAAAAAGTAAGAGCCTGCAAAGAAGTTTGAAGAACACTTTTCATAGAATCCTACAGTGATAATGTGCACCTATACGTATAATACAGGACAGGCAGTGTGATATCATGGCTAGAGTGATTGATTATGACATGGGAGATCAGGGTTTGAATCCTTGCCTGGCTATGCAATTTCACAGGGTGGGGGAGGGCAATGGGTAAATCTCTCCTTAAATCACTCACATACCTTCAAAGCCCCTTTAGGCCTGCAGTAAATTGGATGTGATTTGGTGGCATAACACATGGAATACTTACTAGTATATTTTGCCCTTCAAGGGAGCATTTTACAAGTAAATCAAGAGAGATTGCTTAACTTCTTGTGCATGACATTTAGTTCTTGGGCTTTTTATCCTGCTGCAATACTGAAGGTATTCTTTAAAGTAACATAAGCAATAAAATCTGCTATCATTTTAACCTTCATATGTCCGAGATGGAACTTTTAAGTCCCTTATCTTGTCAGGTTTTTCCGCAGAATTCACACTGAACTAGGCCTAGGCCTACTATTTTACATTCTGTAACCTGAAGAACTGGAAACAGTGTCACAAAGTTTCAGTCATGTGCTATGTACTGTAGTTTTCTTTTTAACAGAAAAAATAACTGTCCCAAGAAATCTATTGCTTTTTGACAATGGAGTGCTTTTTCTCCCATACAATTGTACTGTATTGTGTCAAGATGTGTCTCATGCCAAATTCTGGCAATCCAAGATGTATTAAATAGAAATGACATGCTCTGGTTGGCACCAAGTTGGCCCCATTCAACAGAGCCAATGGAATTCTAAGTGTTTTCAGGGGACACAAAACATGCAATGATAACTTCAACCCTAACCCTACCGCTAATTCTGAATAGTGGAATTCCTATCAGGTCAGAAAACATCCTTGAATTCAACTCAATGCAAGTTTTGCAACACGGAGAAGGACTAAAATCTGACAGTTTCTTCTGTACATGTTTATATATGTTTTAAAATACCTTTCTACAAATTTTATACAGTATTTCAACATCCTCTTGATACTTTCACTGGATGCAGTTTTCATTAAGAAACTACCAAAAACTATTCAGCAATGCAGTTCAACACATTTATAGGCAACAAGATTCATTCCAGTTTTGCAATTCAGATTTCTTCTATTTCTTGTTTGATAGGGAAGGGCATCTAGTGTCAACCTGGCTCATATACTAGAAAAGAAAAATTCTTAACACTACCTCACTGAATTTTGGGAATGACAGAACACTTGGTAGCCTCTGTGACAAGTAGCTGAAGTACAGAATGTTTGGTGGCTAATAATAATAGGTCCAGTATGCTGCAAATAGAAAGCATTTTGGCTTGTTTTAAAATATAATATTCATACTACATAAGAATGGAAAACTGCCAAGGATGTTGAGCAATTGTTGCATCACATAGAGACGATATATACACAACTTTCTGGTAAAAGTCTAAGACAATATTACTTCCCAATATTACAGTTCTGTCCAAAAAACAAAGCAGGTATGAACTTGAAGTTTAGTATGGCAAGCAGATGTTAAATTAAGGTCAACAAGAATAGCCAATATGTGAGAAAGTTTGCACCAGACCATGACTGAGGATCCAATGGCCCTGTATTGCACTGAACTCCTATTTCCATCAGACATAGCCAGTTTACTCAAACTTACGCAAACAGTAATTCATAAACATATACACAATCACAACCTACATTCAATTCCATAATAAGTTCACATTTCTACTAAAATGTGGAGTCACAAAATCTTTCAAATATCAGTCGATCATGTGTTATATTCTCTTTAACTGATCCAAAGTCCCCACTTACAGTGCTTTTGTCTACCTAGTTATCTCATGAAATACATAAAATATGGACCCAACTACATATTTTTTTCAATAACAGTATCTTTGCTAAAAAGATACTGTTTTTGCTAGATGGATAACTCGGTGATTTAGGCTTCTGGTGGTGGAACTAGGGGGAGTTTGATTCCCACTGTGCCTTCAGGAAGAAGAGCCATCCTGTGTAGCTTTGGGCAAATTGCAAGGCCTCAAGGTATGCTCTCCCCACAAAAAGGAAATGAAAAACTACTTCTGAGTACTCTCTCCTGATAGTGGCATTAAAACTACCTAGAAAATTCTGGAAAGGGTTGCTTCTTCTTCTTTCTGCTGACAAGTGTCCAATTATTTGCACGTTCATTGCATTTCACAGTATATAGCCACAAAATCAGAACGAGTACAAGTGAAATTCTTTCAAAAGGTGCAACTGTCATCCAATTTCTAAAGAACATATACGATCTATTGAAACTTGATTCCTTACTTCAAAATTTTCTTTCCTAACCAGATATCAAGAATTTTTTTGCAAGTTTTTTCTAAGACATAAGATGGGCAAGCTATCATGATAAAAACTGCCAAGCCTACAGAGACTAAGCGTTAAAGTAAAGGCCTGAAATCACAAATCTCACTTCTTGTTTCCTCACCACCCTACACAATCTTGGAATTCGAACCAGTTTTATTGCAGGATTCTGACGTTTCACACCAAAGGTCAGACCACTCCTGTCTACTTCTACAGTTATGCCTGAATGCTCATCACATGATTTTGTTTTCTTTCTTTTCTTTTTTTTTTTAAGGAACACACACCAAGAAATCTTGGAAGCTTTTGCTTGGCAGGCCCAAACTCAAGTTAGCTTTTCCCTTCCTGCAGATTCAATGAGTAGAATCGTCCGGGAACGTTTATTTAGAAGCTGTCTGGATAGCATTACTCAGCCAAAATGTTCCTACAAGTGTAGTCTGCGAGGATTATCGGGTTCTTGCAAAGGACCTGATGAATAGATGGATCTTTTTCTTCACTGCATCATACATGCATTAAAAAAGGCGTGGGGGGGGAAGGAAAATCTCTCTCCCAATGAACGACGGACGTTATTTCAATAAATCACCCTTCCTCAAACTAAGAATTACATACACTTCATCCTCAAGGGCAACTAGTAATGATAAGCTACATACTGTACAGGGAATACAAAAAGTGACATTGATAAGAGCACTAGATGCCTTCCTTGGGAAGGAAAAGGGATTGCTTAGTTTCAACGCTAAATAGGCAATCTTTCCTCGGGTGAACAGGATTCCCAGCGCCCTCCCAGACTGCGGTGGTAAAAGATTATAAGGTGCCGTCTGTTTATTTATTTAACCCCTCTGTCCGGGGAGGGGCGGGAAGGGAGGAGATTCCTTCTAATTGGGAAGGCAGTCTGGACCCCGGGCCGCTCTTTACCACCAGCCTGGCGGTGGATAAATGCGGTGGTGGCCAGTCCGTTTGGGTCACTCAACGCCAGGCGCCCCTCACGGCTTGCTTGCCCAGCGCCTCCTTGGCAGAACACGGCGCGTGACGGCGAAGCCCAAATCCCAAACTCAGGAGCCTGAACGCCGGCCAGGGACTGGGGGCCGAAAACTGCCCGCCCCCTCAGTGCTTCAGGTGAGGCAAATTCTCGGCCCGAGGGGAGACGGATACCAAATCCGTCCCCGTCACCCCTGGTTAGGCGCCCACCTTCAGCTCGGCGGAATCTAGTTAGAGGTGGGGATGAGGGGGGAGAAGAGAAAGACGGAAGGGGCTTCTTACCTTGCTCAGCACTCCGCAGAGCTCAACAGGCGGCCCGGATTCGGTCTCGGGATCCTCCTCGGAGCCAGAGGAATTCCAGCTTTGGTTGTCCGACATGGAGTCGCGTCCCTCGGTCACTCTCCAACGAAGAACAAAACCCCGGGAGCTCGCGGTACCTGACTGACACTTCCCCTCCGGGCGCTGTTACTACCGCTGCTACCGCCACCGCCACCCCAGCCCGAGCCACCTTCGCCAACCGTCTGCCTGTCCCCTTCTGGCCACCGCCGGGACCGCAGCCTCCGAATTTCCCTCAGCCCTCTCAGCGCACGCTTGGAGGTCTCACCATCTGAGGCAGCCACACTGTTAGTCCCCTCCTTCTCCTCCTCAAAGCAACGCGAATGTTACCGCCGCCATTTTACTCAAGCAACTCATCCTCGACCACTATTTGCCAAGCCTTTTTCACGCTCCTCTCCGATACGGTCTTAACGGGGGAGCGTGCGGCAGTGGCACACTGGGAATTGTAGTCCTCTGAGAACCCTCTAGTGCCGCTCAGCCTTCTGGGAAAATGGGTTGGGTGAAGACTGTCGGCGTCCTTGTTCGCGGGGCGTTTCGGGAGTTGTAGTTTTGCGCGGGAGTCGCTACTACTTTCAAAACTCTGTCGGTCGCCATCTTGGTGTCACTTTACTGTGGAAGAGGAGCCTGCTGCGTCTGAGGTGTACGTATACCTAGGGGAACTGGTGGCTGCTTTCCCGATCATAGGGAAGCGCTGCTTTGTTAGCTTAGTCATTTACTTCCTTTACCTTCTGATGGGAGCGCCCCTCCTCATTGTATGGGAATAAAAAAATTAATTTCTGTCAGAAATAGAAGCGCCCATCCCCTGGGGGGAAAAACCCAGAGAAGGGAAAGAGGCTTTTTCACAAATCAAATCTGCTTGGGAAGTTACGTTTCGGAAGGGTGGGGATGTTATTGACGAAGGGGCAACGTGAATATGGGTGAATTTTGAAGAAAGGGATGCAAATGAAGGAAAAATCTACTTTCAACCACAGGGTAGTATTATTAATTTGGCTCCAATTGGCTCTGAAAACCACACCTCCAATGCAGCCTGTGTTTTTCCTAACACATTTAAAAAGCAGTATGTCTGTGATGCCATGACTCAACTTCTAGATTTAAGAAGCATCTCTGACGGAGCCACCTGCCATGTATTTTTGGGATTCTCATTTATAATTTTTGTGCACTGTCCACAGGGTATTTATCCATGGCCTGTGGAAGTGGAAAAGCTCACTGATGGGTTTTTTTTAAGTGGCATAATAAAGATATCTACTAATAAAGGTATGATTCCCACAGCGGTATAGTGAATAAAGCGATGGACTAGGACTCTGGAGAACAGGGTTTGAATCCCCACTTGGCCATGGAAAGGCATTGGGGGAGTGGAGGTGGTAAAACCACTCCTTAAATATCTAACCTTTGAAAGCCCTATAAGGATCGCTATAAGTTGGTTTCAACTTGATGGCACAGAGCAACAACAACAATAAAGGTATCACCTGCTCTGTTTGTATTGTGTAAGGAACAAATAGCTTTCTTTGTTTTTCCCCCCTCCATATGTTGTTAGAATGGAATGGAGCTACTCGAAGCTTTATCCAACATAACCAGTGGTAAGGAATGACAAGAGTTGTAATTCAGTGATCTCTGGCCAGGCCACACATTCTCCTCTCACTCTAAAGCGTTGCTTTCCAAACAGGTCTTCTTCTGTGAGACTGGTGCCCTTCAAAAAGCCAAACAGCAACAATCATGTTCTAGCAAATGTGTAATTGATAGTCACTATTGAAAACTAAATGCTGAACTACATGCGCTTTTGATCTCCAAGCAAGGTAATTCTTATATCCTTTGTGTATGCAAGCAGACTGGGTACAAATATTTCATTGACCTTGTACTGAAAAAGGAGAGCCTGGAAATACTGGAACTGAGAAATCTAGAATAGTCCTATCATAGAATCTGGAAGAGTATTTGTCAGTGATACATTGCTATCTCTACCATTATTTTCCATTGCTTCTGTTTATTTGCAGCATATCACTACCTGCCATGATTTACTGGTTTCTAGGCTGTTGTCGTGTCTGAATCAGCACCAGAACGTGGTCTGTTAGCTTGCTGCAAGCCACAAAGTGAGAAGTTATGGTTTGTTGTTGGGTAAAATCTGGCTTATTTAAAAAGTGGCTTATTATGGCATCCAAACCCAGAACTGTAGTTATTTCCTGGGCTGTTCTGCCAGGTGTCCACCCTGAAATGGGAACTGACAAAAGGTGCATGAGAGACCCGGATAAGAAGCAAAAGACACATTGTGGATTGCTTGGTTAGCTGCCAGACAAGTCATGGCTAAAACAATTACAACCAAAAAAACCCATGACATAGCATGATGCGTGAACACAGCTTTTTCCTTCTCCTGTTATCTTTGGTCTAGATTTCTTTACCCACTTTGCAGCAGCTGTGTAGGACAATCCTTTTAGGCTGAAAAACTTTTTAACTGGTAGAACAGTACAACAATAGAACCAATTATCTTTGGAAGTGTTGAGCGTTCCAGCACTGGAGGCATTCAAGAGAAAATTGGACAACCATCTGTCAGATCTGCTTTGATTTGGATTCCTGCATTGAGCAGTGGGTTGGACTTGATGGCCTTATAGTGTTCCAAAAATGTAGTTGTTCTATGATTTTTCTGACCTGGCTGCATTTGAAAAACCACTAGAAATGTTGGCAAGTTAAGCTGCCCCCATGTATAAGAAGCCCCCCTTCTAGCCCCAAATTAATTTCAGCCTCTATGCTTAGAATGTTTCCAAGCAGTACCTACATGCTCCACCTCCAACAAGGTGTGTTCCAATTGGTTTGTTCAGCATCAGCTGACATCAGTTACATAAGGTTCATGAGGGGAGGAAGCTAAGCCTCCTAATTGGAGGCAGCCTGTTTGCAGAGGCAAGGTATGGGCTGTTTTGTTCTCTCCTCAGCTTACTTCAATGTATAAAATGACCCTCAATGTTTAGTCTAAAGATTTTAGACAAAAGTATCATCTTATACACAGAAAAATATGGGCATCTTTGAAAATGTCCATTGCTGCCTTTCACTGAGTTAATGGGAGGGATACACAATGGGTCAGCTTCAAAATTTACGGATTTTGGGGGGATTTTGGGACTTTTATGTTGATCTCACCATACTCACAGATTCACATGGTGGGGACATGGGAGAGGCCCTTTTCTGTCATTGCTCTGGAACTCCATCCCATGGGATGGAGTTGTTTATCTTTTAGATGCATATATAGGTACTTTTCCTATGCTCCTATCATATATGATAATGCCTATAATAAGATAAAGTGTTCCATTCTCTTTTGTGGCAGAAAGCAACTGACTCTGTTAAAATGGCTCAGTAGCAGTTTTGCTGCCATGCAGGTACAGGACATAACTATTTGGAAGATATGGCGATATAGATTTGCTGTGGCTTGGAGAGACTCAAGTAAAATGTGCTCAAGGCACATTTTGTGTAGAACATGTCTCCATTCAGTTTTCAGCAATTCCCCCCATCACCCTTTTTAAGTGCCCATGTCACAGCTGATCCTATTCATCATAGTTGCCAAATCACACAAAAGGCTTTTGCAGGATGACTGCTGAGGAGGGGCAAGGACAATCACCTTCTGTCCACCCACTTGTGTATGAATTTTTCTGGATCCAGCCCTGTTTCTTTTTTTTTTCCTTGAGAACTTCATAGTTTACAGTTGCATTATTTCAGAATGCTTTCATGTAATCTTTTTATTCATAAAGCATCTTAAGCCTGATTTTTCCCCCATACAGCTGCAGGCTAAGATTTTCTTGACACTGTTGTATGACAACCAACCTAATTTTTCTGTAATTGCTGTAAATGCAGAGAACTCTTATTGAAGCTATTGTCAGCTGTGACATACTCATCTGTCAGGATGTGGTAAATCCTGGATCTATGAACATTAGCAAGTGATCTGTTTGAATAGGAATTTTTCAAAGGTTTTTCATCACTTGAGTCAAATTGTAGCTAATATTTTAATCTAACTAGGTTATGGACACAATCAACATTTTCAGTATAGCATTTAATTGTAGTAAAGTTGTTTATATTTGCTCTCATAACTGTGAAACAAAAGTTACAAGAATTCAATAATCTTGGCCATCCATCTGAAAAAGCCTGTGGCAAAACAAGCTGCATAAACTCTTGAGCACTGGTGATCTAATCATACCATTCCTCTGTCAGTATTACTATTATTCCAAAGCAGCAGATCTACACTGGCAAGAATCTTGTGCTCCACTAGGCCACTTCTAAATTGCAAAGTTCCAGTGACTGGAGAGAATGCTTGTGATAAGCTGAGAAGGATTATATGATATGGGTGCAGACTCATGCCTCTGTCAAGTATTTGCAGTATACCATACAGGAGCAGAAACTTAAGGAGGGTGAATCTGATCCTCCATAAGTCAACTTTTGTTGAACTTCTTTTCAAATGAATGGATATTTAGCTAAAATGAGCTTTAAGTCAACCAAAAGAATGTTTTAGAAAAGGCATGCCACGTGTCCAGTATACAGTGGTGCCTCGCAAGATGAACGCCTCGCCGGATGAAAAACCCGCAAGACGAATGGTTTTTGTGATTGTGTTGGTGACTTGCAAGACAGCTTCTTCTATGGCCGTGCTTTGCAAAAGACCAATGCCTCGCAAGACGAAAAAATTCATTCGTCTTGCGAGGTTTCTCATAGGAATGCATTGCAATGCATTCCTATGGGAAACCACTTTTCGCAAGACAAAAATTTCGCAGGATGGTGCTACTCGCGGAACGAATTACTTTAGTCTTGTGAGGCACCACTGTATTATATATTTTTAGAGTGTAGCAGGATAGAATTATCTCATCTAGTAAGAAAGCTCTTAATAAATAATGTAATGATGTTTAATGTTCGCTAGTTAATGATAGGAGTCACGAAGAGTCGGACACGACTAAACAACAAAAGTCAATGATAAGCTAGTTAACATTGCAAATAAGGATCTTGCTTTCACTGCTGTGAAAATTCAGCAGCTAAGTCTGGTTTGCTTATTCTGGCTAATCTGGTTTATTTATCAGAATCAGAATTCTTAGTTTATTATGTGATTTGGCTTCAAGTGTGTAAGACACATTCTTTTAAAATAAAGATTCATAATGTACTTTAGGTTGCAGCCCTCTGCACATTTAACATGGAATTAGTAAGATTTATGCTTGAGTAGTTACATTTGGGATTGTGTTAGAATCTTTTTAAATTAAAAACAGGGTTGTGCATGAAATTGCAATATGTTTTTAATCCTAAGAAACATATTTTAAAGAAATCCATTAGATATCCACCTTTTAAAACAACAACTAAGAAACTGATCTTTTTCTTTGTTTGACTTTTTAAAGCTCATATATTGACACATATTATGTTTCATGACTGAAAAAATAAAAAGGGGCAAGCAGCTTGAGTACAATTTTAAGTTTTCTAAAGTTTACCTGTATTATTTATTTGTTACATCCCCCCTCCCCCCGTTTCACTAAGAAGTAGCACTCAAGGCAATTTACGAACTTCTCAGGTAAAACTAAATCTAGTTTTAAAAAAATCATAAAATCAAGTAAACCATTAAACAATGTGAAAACCATTAAAATCAAGTAAATAGATTAATTTCTGGGGATATTTCCTTGTTATTTTATAAGGCTATAATAAAGAACACGAATTGCTAATGTTCAGGGGGCTCATCAGTAGCTGGAGTTTATAGAGACCTTTGGGTAGTGTGGGTGGCATATTAGATAGATTAGATAGATAGATAGATAGATAGATAGATAGATAGATAGATAGATAGATAGATAGATAGATAGATAGATAGATAGATTTCATTAATCCTATGACAAATTCTTTCCTCATAATTTGAAACATTTTCCACAGTGCAAATTACAGTGGATACAGATGGTGTGCGTTTAGCTTTCAGTTTATAATACAGTGGTGCCCCGCATAGCGATGTTAATCCGTTCCGGATTAATCGTCGCTATGCAAAAACATCGCTAAACGAATCAAAAAAGCCCATAGGAACGCATTAAACTTCGTTTAATGTGTTCCTATGGGGCCCCAAACTCACCGTTCAGCAAAGTTCCTCCATAGCGCCGCCATTTTCGCGCCCTCGGTAAGCGAGGGCAGGGCGTGAAAATGGTTGCGGCGGCCATTTTGGAACCGTCGATCAGCTGTTTTAAAAAACCGCAATGCGAAGATGGGTAAGCGAAAAGCTTATCAATCATCGCAAAGAGATGTTTTGCCATTGAAAACATCGCAATGCGATCGCACTAGCGATCTGAAAAAACAGATTGCTATGCGGATTCGTCCTTAAACGGTGCGCTCGTTAAGCCAGGCACCACTGTACTGTGTTGAATATAGCAGTGGCTCCTTTGTGGTCACAGAAAGCGTCTTTTATATCATGCTGGAGTGTTTTGTAAGAAAAGGGAAATGAAATCTAAACATTTTCTGCTTGTGCAACTGTTTGTTCAACCTCTTGCTCAAGAAGAAAAAGCAATGCTGTACAACTAACCTATCTATATGTCTACTGTGCTTTTGACTTGTCCTTTATACCCAAGTTCTTCATATCTAGGCTATTGTCTCCAGATAGTAATTCTGTTGTTATCTGATGTCATGTTGTTTCTAATCCCCAGAAGATCCTGTCATTGACAGCCAAATCAAGCCTATAGCTTCTTTTTTTGACTCAAGTCATCTCATAATCAGTCATCCTGTTTTCCTGCTACCTTAAAATTTTCTCAGCGTTATTGTTCTTACCAGTGAGTCTTGTTTTCTCTTGATGTGTCAAAGTATAATAGCATCAATGGAGTCATTTTTGCTTTTAGAGAGAGTTCAGGTTTGTGTTCATCTAGCACCCACTTATTTGTCTTTCTGGCAGTCCAGGATATCTCAAAGCTCTGCTCCAGCATAGATAATAATACCACTACAGATTTTAGTTCAAGTGTGACTGAATATATCTGAAGGTGATTTATATTCAAAGAAAATAAATAATGTATGCAATGTTGATATTTGTCCAATGATAATAATTCCTTACTATTATGGTGCTATAATAGCAATAGCAGTACCTGTTTTAAAGCTGTTGTGTTTTTCAGGGTAAGAATTGGGAAACTGCTTGGTTTTGCAATGGAAAATATGAGAAAAGGTGATACTTCTTTCAGAGAGGACCTGCTACTTAGAGTGGGCCTGAATGATAACAAGGCTGGAATGCAAGGACTGGATAAAGAGAAGATCAACAAAATCATAATGGAAGCTTCCAAGGTTTATTTATATAGCTTTCACAAATGCTTTAGCTGTTCATAGCTGTTAGTTGCACTCAATTAAGTGTGGGGTTTTTACCAGCATGACCTTGCAGTTTAGTACAGAACCCAAGACCTTTGACTGATAAGGTTGAAAATCTGTCATATTACTTATGTGTTTCTCCAGTGTATATAGTGAGAATCCATTGGTACTAGCATTTGGACTAGAAGATATATATCAGAGTATTCATATCCTCCAAGGCCATTTCATAATCCCCTTAGGCTCCAGACTGAATAGAACATTGTTCCTCTCAGACAGTGTTGTTCATACTCCCTGCCAGCTGTCAGCTTATCCGCAGCACAGTGCACATTATTGCTAGGAACATTTTCTATCAATATGCAGCTACAGCATATGTACAATTGATGCAAGTGTGTGGGTTACTCTACTGCACTCCATTTATACTTAGTGTTTTACTGGTATAATGGAACATTGCATGAGGCCATATTGATTCCTCAGAATTTAATCATCATCATCTTAGAACTACAGAGCTGGAAGGAGCCTGTGCATCATCATCCAGCCTCTGTCAAGGAGGCACTGTTGGGGATTGAAGTCACAACCTCTGGCTCTGGAGCCAGATACCTAATCCTGTGCATCATCATCCAGCCTCAGTCAAGGAGGCACTGTTGGGGGGCTCTGTTTTAAGTTGGTGGTGTTCAGAAACACTACACCACTCATTTAAGATTTTTAGCAGTTTTTATAGGCTCTGTTTTAAGTCGGTGGTGTTCAGAAACACTACACCACTCATGAAAACAACGGCCGGGTGCTAATCTCATTTTCCCTAATGTATTGCCCTCCAAATATGTTAGACATCAATCCCAGCCAACTACCAGGTTGGTGAAGACTCAGTCTGTAAGCAGAGACTTACGACATCTTTAAATCTCTGTGTGATGTTCAGAGAAGTTTGGGTGCTTTATAAATGTTAATGATTCAGCTTAATTTGGAACTAAAGAGACATTTTGCATACATATTTGCAGCCATCTGTACCAATCTACATATTGATCAATATCTGCTTATAATGTAGAGGTAATATTGCAGCATAGCTGTAATACCCAGTGTGATGTCATGGACAGTGATGGACTAGGCTCTAGGAGACCTGGATTGGAATCCCTGCTTGGCCATGAAAACTCAGTGAGTGAGGGTGCAGTACTTATAAACCACTCCTTAAATATCTCACTTGCCTTCAAAGCCCTTTTGGGTTGCTATCAGTCAGTCCTGACTTGAGAGCACATAAAGCACCTCAGTGCATATGGATTTTTGTATTTTGTAATACTGTATTAGTAAAGTAATGTAATTATAGAATTTTGCCCTGCTTTCCTCATGGAATGGTTAGTCAGACCTTGGGGATAGGTTGTTTTCTGCTATGTTTGTTTTGTTCTGTAGTGTTTTTCTAATGACCTCTATAATAAGATCAGTCTGTACAAGGTTGACTGAGTAATTTTAATCTCTTTGGCAGGGTTCTAGGTTTTATGAAAATGAACTTAAGAAAGATCAACAAGTTAACAAACGAATTGAAAAAATGCTGGAACTAAAAAATAAAATTACAGATCAACAGATTATGAAAGCACAGTTACAGGTAAAAAGAAAATTGTCCTGCAAATGCAGTTTCCTTTTATGTAGCTCACCTCCAATACATACAAACTTTATTAATTTGGGTTGATACTCCAACTCTTAATAATTGTGTAGAGTATTCTTCAGGGAACCTAATAACAACATTATATATGTATCGTGCTGTTAGGATAACGTCTGGCAAAATGTTGATATTCATATAAACAAGAGCTGGTTTGCAGAATGCTTCAGTCAGTGTTACCAGTCTCTTGTCTAAACACTAGAAGTACATACTTTCTCAAGTACCTCAACTGGTTTTTCTGGGTCTTCTGACCTTCAGCTTCAACGCCCTCAGAAACTATTGTTACTGAATTCCTTGCTCTTGTGGGAAACATCTGTGTGAGAGTATGTACTCGAAAGTAAACTTGACTGCTTTGTTGAAATAAAATCCTGTAGATATCGGAGGTATTTTCAGTTGGGATGCAAAGTAGTCCTAAGGTTCTTTACTATTATTCTATGATACTTTATTCTGAGAACATTTCAGAGTTTATTAAGTTTTATGAGAATATATATGATAATGTGGGTGTGTGTGTGTGTGTGAAAATGTTTGTGAGCTCAGCAGTAAAAACAAAATAAAAAGACAGTGGAAAGTAATGTAAAACATATTCTTGTCTCTTTACTTCAAAAGTTGTTACATCTCTGTAATTGCATTACTTATAACATATGAGCCGTATGCCCATATTCACAGTTGAATACAGTGGTGTCTCGCTTTATGATTGTCCCATTTAACGACGAAATTGCATTCCGACGAAATTTTTGCGATCCCTTTTGGAATCGCAAAACAATGTTTCCTATGGGGGAATTTCGCTTTGCAATGATCAGTTCCCTGCTCCAGGAACCGATTCTTCGCAAACCGATGATTTCCCAACAGCGGATCGGCAGTTTCAAAATGGCCACCGGGTAAACAAAATGGCTCCCCGCTGTTTTCTGGGACGGATTCCTTGCATTACAGGCCCCGAAAATGGCCGCCCTATGGAGGATCTTCGCTGGACAGTGAGTTTCAAGCCCTTTGGAACGCATTAAACGGGTTTTAATGCGTTTCATTGGGTTTTTTTCTTTTCGCATTACGTTTTCGTTCTACAGCGATTTCGCTGGAACGAATTAACATTGTAATGCGAGGCACCACTGTATAATGTATGTTATACACTAACAAGTGAGATTTTATAAAGAATGTTCAGAGATTAAAACTCAGTAGGAGCGAAAAGCTGTAATATGGGAATCCACTACTGTATTGTGTATTCTGATGATGGCATGCATATAAAGAATATGTGCATGTGAAAGCTATAATGGGAAATAAGAATATGCAAAATGTACCCCAGCAAAGCAAGGACATCTACTTTCCATGAAATGCATGGTATGTTGGAACATGTCTTGTATGGCAATAACTTGCCACCATGTGAAATTTATGCTAGAAATTTTATATTTACACCAAGACCTCCTTTCTCCACATACAGAGTGCAAATTTCTAGCCATTAGTATTCAGTGCTGTCATTGCACTAGCAAAAGCAGTTCTTGCCAGAATGGGAAGAGGTAATATCAGTCTCTCCTGCAGTCTCCCTGACCCCATATACCCTGAAAACTGTTCTGATGGGTTGGGAAACACTTTTCAGCTCTGAAGAAGGCTATAGGGGCAGAGAGAGTGGCTGCAAATCCCTATACTGCTGTGAGTGTCAGATTAGATTCAATCTTCTTTCTTTAGTACTTATCTGGTTATTTTAGTTAATAGTTATAGATGGGGATATTCGTATTCGTATATCCCCGTGCAGCTGGAGGGAACTGGGGCCAGACCATCCACTCACACATCTAGCAGTAGTGGCGGGCCCTCTCTTCTTTCCAATTGCTCCGGAGTGTTGCTCGGCTAGCCACTCAGCAGCCTTGCAGGGAGACTCATCCTTCCTCCCTCTGTTAGGACTGGCTAGACAACTGGAAGAGAACAGTGCTCAGGAGCAATTGGAGGAATGAGTGGGGCCGGCGGCAGTGGCAGACATGTGAGTGGACAGTCCGGCCCCATACAATGAGACCCTCATTACCTCCAGCTGCGTGGGGATATTCATAATCTTATATCCCCAAATACGTGTATATCTATGAATACAAATAGCCCCATCTCTATTAATAATATATAAGTGAGTCTGTCTGTCTATCCATCCATCCATCCATCCATCCATCTGTATATATACACCAAAATGAGTGTATGTGTGTACACACACACACACATACACACACCAGTTTCTCTTACACAACAAACAAAATTAGAGACACATTCCAATCTAAATCATAGTGGCTATTTCATGTAACAGGTTCCACCATTTAAGCTGCTGCCATACAATTTCTTTCACACCACTGCAAACTGTATGGTTGAAGTGATGTGGAGAAAACCATACAGCAAGACCTGGTCTTCCTTTATATTGCTTGCTTTCTGTACAAAACATCCCTAAGATAGCCTGTGAAGGATTAAAACTATTTTCAGTGAGGCATGGTATGCCTGAGAAAACTGCTCTGTTTGTATGCACTTATACATATTTATTTATGCACAGGTGGATAAGATTGCCATGGAACTGGATCAGAGGCGTGATCTCAGCTGTACTATTGTGCACATTGACATGGATGCCTTTTATGCAGCTGTTGAAATGAGAGACAATCCTGACTTAAGGGATAAACCTATTGCAGTAGGATCATTGAATATGTTGGTAAGGTGGAAGATAGTCTTTGCAAACAAACAGATAATCATGAGCTTTCATTAAGAAAAAATTGTTATTTTAAAGTGCTATCATACTATTGTGGCATTTGCAGAAAAGCTTTAAAAATCCTGTATACTTCTGGGTTATACTGAAACATTGATGAGAATATATTGATTTCTTGGTGTAAGACATTATTTTAATACACTTAACTAGCAATTTTTTAAAAGTATGTTATATATCTGTGTTAATGGAGTGGTCATTTTATTCCAACTTTTTTAGCCCCAGTTTTGTTGATTCTTTGACCTAAATCAAACTGATAATGCCAAATGAACTGCTAAATACGATGAACACCTGTAAATTGCACAGATACAATGAGTATACTTCAGTTGGGACTATAGTTGTATTGGGGCCTTTATTTATTTTAGATTCATGTTTGACAGGATAATGGGATTAGTTAATAGTATTTATTAAATAATGGGGGCCAATTACTACTACTGTGTTGAACTGGCATGACTTAAACATGCTGAATTAGGTTTTTTTATTCTTGCCATAATATATAAAGAGCTTTATTGCATAATTTTAAATTATGCTTTTGTCTTTTCAAGTCCACTTCAAATTATCATGCTAGAAGATATGGGGTACGGGCTGCCATGCCTGGCTTCATAGCTAAGAAACTCTGCCCACACCTTATAATAGTGCCGTTAAACTTTCACAAATATAAAGAAGTAAGTAAAAAGGTAAGTAATTTATTTTACGTAATTGCCTAATCTATGTTTAAAGTTTAGAGTGTTGTATATATTATGTGAATTTAAAGTGATAGCTATGCTACCTACTCTTGCTTTAACACTGTGGTAGTGTTAAAACTGTGATAAAGTATGTGGTATGCAGGAATGGGCAAAGAAAAGTGTAAAGTTTACACATATAGGTTGAAGTCCTGTTGCTTAGCATAGTAAATCACACTGGAACAGGCCTATAAATCAGTAGGGATCTGGTGATTTAACTTATTCAAATGGATCTACTCTAGTTACGACTTACTATGTTAAAGTAATAGGGTTGTGGTGGTGCTGCGGGCAGAACCACAGAAGCCTGTGCTGCAGGGTCAGAAGACCAAGCAGTTGTAAGATCAAATCCACGCGACGGAGTGAGC